TGTGTTGGGTTCGTTCACCAATTTTCTCTCTGCTGGTTTAGGATTTTGCTTTCTTGGATCTCCAAAGTCAGCTATGTTTGTTCATTGCTTTCCACATTAAAACATTTTTTCCTCTGTCTTTGGCGTGCTCATGCCATTTTTATGAGCTTGTTCTTGAAGTATATTGCTAAAATATTTTTAGTTATCATTACTTATCTTCAAAGAGCTTGAAGAATTTGAAATAATTTAGTATGGAATAATCGTTCTCATTGCTCTTAAACTTTTATCACTTTTTCTAGAAAATATTTTTAGTGATATGATCAAAACGATAACATTTATAATACCTAAATTCATTATAATGCCTTATTTTAGTTACCTCATATATTTCATTATTCTCTTTTTCTGCTTTTATTTGAGATTTTGAATTTCCTTGTTCAATTTCTCATTTTTGTAATTATTTTATAAATTTTTTCATTTATTTTACTAAAACAAGACCTCAGTAAGTGCTTTGTTGTAACATGCAGCGGTGTTTAAAACAGGTTACTTTATACATGGCTAAATAGAGCCCCTCTCTCTTTGAGCTTGCTGCCACGTTAGGCTTACATATTGAGTCACAGCGAGGTGAGGCTGGGCATCTCCTGCCAGGGTCCCCCTTTTCCTTAGACGGCCCACCCTGGCTGCCTTTGTCGTCTTTCCCAGTCGTCTCACAGCCAGTCTCTTTTTGCTTTTTAGCGCTTCCCCCTGTTCCTGCAGATGAGGGTGCTTTCTTTCCTGTTCATGTCACTCTGTTACTTCCCTTTTATTTCTCCTATCTATCACAATTAGAGCATACATTGATTTTTTTAAATTGTATGAGGTGAATTACTTCATCTGTGAATTCCTTTTAAAGATATTAACCAAAAACCAAACCCGTTGCTGTCGAGTTGATTCTGACTCATAGTGGCCCTATGGAAAATCTGTTGAACCTTCTTCCACTTAGGTTTTGTTTTGTTGTGCTTTATTTTCAAAGGTCTTATGTAGTCTTTTTAAACATTTTAATTGTTAGGGAAAGTTTGCATTCTAATGGAGGAAAATCTTATCTTTCAGAGTATCTTAAAGTGCGGTCACATGACCCCGAGGAAGCTATTAGACACGATGTTATTGTGTCTATAGTTACAGCTGCTAAAAAGGACATTCTGCTGGTCAACGATCACTTACTGAATTTTGTGAGAGAGAGAACATTAGACAAACGGGTAAGTAAGCAGGAAGAAATAATTATTAATAGGTTTTCATTGTAAATATTTGAGCTTTAATAGTATTTGAAAATATTGAGGTTTAAATACACTTAGCTTTTTTCGAGGGGTAGGCATTTTAACATTTAAAACTGTATTTTATAGAAGGTTTTTCTTTTTATTTGATTGAATTTTGTTAGTTTTTCTTTCTCAAGATTACTTTTCTCATCCTTAAAAATGAGACGGCTCTTAATGGCAGGGTAGTCAGATGTCTAGCCTGGACACCAGTTTGAATGGTGTGTGACTTTTTGTACAGGCTTCCAGTACAACCTCTCTCGTGCTGTTGGCTCTCTTCTCTCTCTCCTTTAAGGGCTGTTGTTACATGGTACGGGGCTGGTAGTCCTCTAGCTGATTGTGTGGTTATTTCACGGACTAGAAGATGAAAGATGTTTTTCAGCTTAGGAAAGCCAAACCCAACAGAGCAGCATGCTCGTAGCCTGTCTTCTGGGAGCCCAGACCTTCCTTCTTGAATGAGCAACACTAGCTCCACTCATCTGCACCAGTGAGCCTCTGAGTTGATGACTGCGCCTTGTTTTTGTACTCCACCTGGCCTGGAGTATATTAGGGGCTCTGTGAATGTTTCAGAGGATGTCCACTCTGCCTTCTTCCTCTGGCCTTTCCTGCATGGCACAGGCTCTGCTCCTTCAGGTGTAGGAGTAAATTGGTGCAACGATTTAGGGGTCAATTAGCAAAGAAAGGGAGAGGCCTGCTGGTAGCTTTGAAGCTTTGATGAGGTAAATAGTTCCACATCTTTCAGCAATCCCCCAAGGTTGATGGTGCCGTCTTCATCTTTTAATCTCTCTTGGATGGCACTGACTGTAGGTGTGGGATAGATGTGCAAGAATTGCGTGGTTTCCCTTCCAGCTCTGTTGGTATCCAGAGAACTTACTTTACTGGATAAATTTGGGATTGTCCTTATCGAACATTTCATCAGGGTGTCAAGCAATGAAAGGCATAAAGAAGGAAAAAGGGGTTTGCATTGTGCGTAAGGTAACAGCCCCCTAAGCATTCAAGTAATGTTTTTCTTAGCTAGGCTTAGAGTTTGAACTAAGTTATTGTATATTGTTGAGATCATAATTCACATATATTTTTGATCAGTTTTTTTGTGTTCACAGTAGGTTGATTGTCTCATTCATGTAAAAATTGAGTACCAAAAAATAATTGAATATATACATGTTCCTGGCAGCATTAAAAAAAAAAAAGAAAAACCAAACCCATTACTGTCAAGTTAATTCTGACTCATAGCAACCCTACAGGACAGAGTAGAACTGACCCAGAGAGTTTCCAAGGAGCAGCTGGTAGATTCAAACTGCCAACCTTTTGGTTAGCAGCCGAGCTCTTAACTTCTGCGCCACCAGGGCTCCAGCATTAGAAGATGCTTTATCTTTTAATTCTCTTTAACGCAGTAGTTTGGGAAATTAGAGTTACAGATGACATAGGGGGTTAGAGATAAAAGATTTACAGGCAAATTGAATGCTTCTTTTATGAGCAAAACTTTTAGAAGTCCTTTGTTTTAGTAGAGATGAATGAGATAAGGACTGTTCGTACTCTGTAGTAATTTAGTGAAACAAAAACCAAGGAAGAACATTGCTATGAGTGAGGCTGCAGAGAAAAAATGAGTCATCTGAAGTTTAAACATTACTAACATCCTGCTGATAATAGTGTTGTATTTATGTAAAATTAAAGCATAAACTCATTCTAAGATAATTAAGCAGTGTTAAACTATTGTTTAAAAAAATAGTTGAGTAGTTAACTACATTCTCCTGATGATAACCTGAACCTGACTCCCTGACAGACAGGATGGAACCTCTGACAGGCCTTTCGTTCAGCATTTGTGAAGGCCAGCATCATAGACGCCTTTGGTACACGCAAATTGTTGTTATTACGTTGATACAGTGTAAGTGCGCTCAGTGTAGACCATAGTTTAGAAGAAATGTGTAAGCAGTGGGTCACAGTTTATCCAGTTAATTCTGTCTTTGCTTTTTAACATGTGGTAGTGCCCTTGCCCTCGCCAGTTCTAAGTGATGGCATGCGGATTGGGATTGACTTCTTTAGGGACAGATGATGGGTTTAAGATATTACAGCGTTAAAAGTCCTTATACATGTTGGTATGTCTATTGCATTTGATATAGTAGATGTACTAACATGATAGCTTTGCTTTGTCATAAATACAGTAATTGTAAACTGGTATTCAGAACCTATGATTTGAGGAAAATGTATAATGCAAAGGAAAATTAAAAACTGGGAAACTAGACTTATATAATGGACATATTTTTAAATTAGAAGATATTTTTGTTTTTATTTTTAGTGGCGCGTACGCAAAGAAGCCATGATGGGATTGGCCCAGATTTATAAGAAATACGCTTTACAGTCGGCAGCTGGAAAGGACGCTGCCAAGCAGATTTCCTGGATCAAAGACAAATTACTGCACATATATTATCAAAATAGTATTGATGATCGGTAAGTTAAGGATGCTTTAATAAAATGTTTGGTGGTGTTGGGTGTCACATACCTGTTGTTCATCTGTAGTTTGTAGTCTGTAACTTTAAACTCCCTCTTCCATTTTTACTATTAGGTGAAGGTCACGAGTAACCAGTTTACTTCTCACCAAAGCCATGTCTGAAGCAGTAATATACATATAACTTTAGGGACGGGTACAGCTTTTATATTCATTTGCATATCCTATTTTTGAACAGAGTAATATCTGAAAGTTTTGAATAACTGTATATCTATATTACCATTTCTATTTTGTTCCATGGTTAATTTTCTTAGAATGATCCTCATAATTCTTTTCTTTTCTCTCTTAATGATTTGACATTCAAAGAAACATAGATTTTTTATATTATAGGCAGTTATTTTAAACGCGAACAATTCTTCCTAAAGTCTGAAGTAAAAAACACCGTTTATAAGTTTATATAAAAATGTATTCTCTGAATATAGTCTTAGTATTTTTCCATTCCAGGCTAAGGTTACAGCTTGCATGGATCTTAGCTCTTTAGTAGTTAATAGAGCTATAAATCTGCATACAGCTGATTTCACAAGTTGTTAGTAGGACACAAACGATCTTGCCTATAAACAAAGAACCAGTTGGTCGTCTTACCATTTTAAGAGCTACAAAACTAGAAACTGAGTAGCTTAGTTAACATTATCTAAGAAACTTCATAGTTATTATTTTTATAAAACTGACATTTTTGGACTTTTTTGAGTGTGTGGCATTAGTGCATAGAGATTCGCATTATGATTTGATAGTATTTATTAGTATTTTTAATTAGATCTTTTTTCGTGATGATCACCATGAAAACTAAGAATCTTAAAATTATTTTTATAGTTTTTTTAACTTAGAAAAGTGTAGAATTTGGCACTTGAAAGGACCTGGTGTAATTTGGTAACCCTTCACTATCCAAACAAGGAAGTTGAGTCCTTGGTCTGTAGCGTGCCCAGGACCGGGCACGGGGAGCTGCTGTCTTAGCTGGGTGTGGGGCCACCTCCAGTACAGCCAGCTAGATCCTTTGTGACCCCTCTTCTTATAGGAAGATGGTTGTCACTAGGGAATGTCATCTACACGCAGAAAAGCAGGAGCTTCTTTAATGTGTATTCTTTACGTGTTTTGGAATTGTATATTCAAGTTGATATGTGTATTAAAAATCAACACACTGAATTTTGTATGTTCTTTTGTAGGCTGCTTGTTGAGCGCATCTTTGCTCAATACATGGTTCCCCACAATTTGGAAACTACAGAACGGATGAAGTGCTTGTATTACTTGTATGCCACACTGGATTTAAATGCTGTGAAGTATGTTTCAAGTATCAAACTCTTTAGTCTTTTCATCTTTTGCAGTATATTGAAATATATGGAAAAGAAGCTGCTTTTAGTTGCGAAGCATTGTTTAAAGGGTTGTTGTGTGCTGTCGAGTGGATTCCGACTCATAGTGACCCTATGTGACAGAGTAGAACTGTCCCATAGGGTTTCTAGGCTGTAATGGAAGCAGATCGTCAAGTCTTTTCTCCTATGGAGCCTCTGGGTGGGTTTGAACTGCCAACCTTTTGGTTAACAGCGAAGCACTTTACCGTGGTACCACCAGCGTTCCTCATTTAAAGGGTTAGACAGCAATAAGATGCATGCCTATGTTTTCAGAAAGTACCGCTGTCAGCATGAGCTCAACAGTGATTTGTATAAGCAATTAAAAAATGTATAGCGCTGATTAACATGGACTGTTTTAGGATCTGATTTTTTTATTTCCTGATTTTTATATTGTTGGTTCTCCAGAAATGTTGCCAATGTACTTGTTCGTTCTTTCTTTGTTTTCCTTAAGGTGTTAGGAAGGTCCCTATGGTGACATTGGCATTGCTGCCCCCAAAGCGCTCTTTGTTGTTCTCACCTGGTGCTGACTTGAGTTGTGTATAGGCCTGTAGGTACAAGTTTTTGTGCTGCGCGTCCTCAGCACTGTGTGTAGTTTTGCGTAAGGGTTCGCACAGATATGTTCTTATGACCGTATTTCATTAAGAAAAAGCTTCTGCAAGTCTGGATAGGGGATTGTCCTTTTGGACATGGAAGAGACATTGCTCACCTAACTGAGTCATCTTGAGGGTTAGGAATTGAGACTTAGAGATGCTTTGCTCAAGGTTTTAGAAAACGTAGACCCTAGTATTGCAGCCAACATGGTTTACAGCTACTGGGGACTGCATGCCGCTCAGAGAGAAGCTGGGGTGGCTGGCAGTCTGAGAAGCTGCACATCCCTTTCATCTGTAAGGCTACTTGCTGGGGCCTGCGGCTTTCCTTTCTCCATGGAGATGGCTGTATGTGCTGGTCACATCTTCCGTAGAGACACCGAGGATAGGGTTCTGGAGGGAGACAGTGCACATTTCCTGACACCTGCTGTCTTCAGGCACTGACGTCTGTGGTTACCTATGGCGCTTTGCTGCTGCAATGGCGGAGTTAAGTAGTTACCAACAGATAGCATGGCCTGCACCGCTTGAAATATTTACTCCCTGGCCCTTTTCAGACAAACCTTGCCAAATGCCTGATATTTTCCCAGTTTTCCACACGACGAACTGAATTCCACAGAGGTTAACTAACTTGTAGAGAGTCACACAAGTAATAAAAAAAAAAAAAAGAGCCAAGATTTGAACCCACGTGTGCTTGGTTCCAAAGCTCATTCTTTTTCCGCTGAATCTAGTAAAATACATTACTGCCATATTTCATTGATTCTAAAACATGAAAGTTTTGTATGTTAATATCTCTGGAATTGTTTTTGTCATAGTTTAATTAGCAGCTCTTTTTTTCATGGTAAAAAAAAGTAATGGTGCATCTTAGAATTGATGGCCTTTTAGCTCTGATGAAATACTGTATATTTAAAGAACTGAAAAACCAAACCAGTTGCTGTTGAGTGGATCTGATTCATGGCAGCCTCGTGTGTCAGAGTTGAATTGTGCTCCATAAGGTTTTCAGTGGCTGATTTTTTGGAAGTAGATTATCAAGCCTTTCTTCCTAGGTGCCTCTGGGTGGACTTGAACCTCCAACTTTCCTGTTAGCAGCCTAGCATGTTTATACCACCCAGGGAATAACATGGTATATATACCCCGTTTGAAACAAACTGAAATCACAGTCAGTGTAGACTTCTTGACTCAGCTCAACTGTCGTTCAAGAGTAAAAATGAAATAAAGATATTTTCAAGCAAAAAATGAGTTTACCACTCATAGATCCTAGCTGAAAAATTACTAAAGAAGAAGAATTTCTTTTGTCAAAATAAGGAAATTAAATCCAGGAAGAATAAATAGGATTTAAGAAGCAACACAACATTTTTGCAAATCTAAACAATCTTGGACTGTAAAAACAATAATAGTAAAGCTTTCTTTACAGGGGTTGTGGTGTGGATTAAAACTAGGTGCCATTTAGACGGATATTTAGCCAGCACACACCACCGCAGCCATATCTGAGCCCTCTGAGTGTGCCTGGGACACCCCTGCCCTCCCAGCCTAGGCACAGCACAGCAGGAGGGCCTTGGAACCATATTCCTCTGCCAGCTGCTCTGATTAGTTGGTGCCCTGCCTATCAGGTAACAACACGTAAGATGATGGGTGAGGAGCCCTGGTGGCGCAGTGGTTAAGCGCTCTGCTGCCAATCAAATGGCCTGCAATTCAAACCCATCCGTGGCTGTGCAAGAGAAAGACCTGTTTCCATAAAGATTACAGCCTAGGAAACCCTATGGGACAGTTCTCCTATGTCCTGTCGGGATGCTGAGTTGAAATCGACTCGATGGCAATGGGAAGATGGTAGGTAAGTAATGAGCATCTAAATGTTCTAAGGTCCTTGAATCCTGTAGTTGTGGGGGCAGAGGTGTTGATTAAGTAGATTATAAGTCAAGTATGCATGTTAAAAATTCCCTAAAGGAATAGAATTAGAATGTATAGCTTCCAAATCTATAGGAGCAAAAAAGAATGAATGAAAACTTTAATACCAGCAAAGGAAAAAAAAAAAAGAAAAAGAATGGGAAATAGAAAACACAGAATATAAATAGCAGTAATAAAACCAAATATATGAAATATTACTCATCACTTAAATGACAGTAAATTAGATTGAATTACGAAATGGTAATTAAGAGATAAACTGAAAAACATGCCAAGGAACAGTTGAAAGTCTATTCCAATCAGTGAACCAATTTTAAGAAGGCCTTGATTTTACAGAAATGGCAGGTCACTCTGTCGTGTTTCTGAGACTGATCCCTAATATTGCATATTGCTGTGGAGCGTTCATTTTCGCTGTGGCGCGGAATTACGTGCTGTCCTCATGCCGCAGTTTATTCCTTGTCTTGACATTGACTGTTTGAGTCCGTGGAGGACGATGGACATTCGTGTTGTTTCCGGTATTTTACTATTACGCGCAGTGCTGTAATATACACGTGTAAGGGTTTTTCTAAGGTACCTGTATGAAGGGTTCTCAAATTTGGCTACATATTGGAATTGCCTGGGAGAAGGGGGGCGTAAACACGGCTGATACCTGAGTCTCACATTCAGAGATTCTCAGTTTGTCTGGTGTTTAGCCTGGGTATTGGGGTTTTAAAAAAGCATTTCAGGAGCTTCTAATGGGAATCACGTGAGTATAGCTAGGGGTGGGTTGCTGAGTATGCAGATTTTCTGCACTGTAGACTAGTGCCAGATTGTTTTCCAACAAGATTGCACTAATTAACACTCCCACCAGTGGTACGTGAGTTTCCTACATCCTCCTGAAGTATGATCGGACACCTCAGTTTTGGTTATCTTCTGAGTGTAAAATTTTATCTCATTTTCATTTCAATTTTCCTGAATACTGTTAATATTGATATTTTTATAGTTTTGTGGTCCATTAATGTGTCTGATTTCACCACAGTCCTTACTACTTCCTGCTGTGACACTTGTCCCACTCCATTCTTTCAGCTACCATTCTTGCTCAGAAGTCATTAGAATTTGTGACCTCTAATTAGTTCAAGTGGTCCCTAGGTGGCAGAAACGGTTTGTGCTTGACTGCTAACCTAAAGGTTGGCAGTTTGAACCCACCCAGGAGTACTGGGGAAGAAAGGCTTGGAAGTCTGCGTCCATAAAAATTACAGCCAAGACAGCCCTATGGAGTACAGTTCTGCTCTGTAACACACGGGGTGCCATGAGTAGAAATCAACTTGATGGCCACGGGTTTGGTTTAGTTGTAATTCATTTGAAACGGGCTCTAAAAATAGCTACTTGGCAGGCAAGTTCCTGGTAAGAGCTTGTTTGGTAAGGATTCTTTCTTATTAGTTGAAAGAACCATATGTTTTCTTCTATAGCTATGTTCTTTAGAGAAGAGAAAAATACTTCCTGTTCTTCAGATTGTTTTTGATATGGACCAGCCTTTGGATAAGCACCCACATTAATGGAGGATTTTGATTGTTGAAAAAAGAGGCCAGAGGCAGGTTTGGGTCCTCCCTGGCTGTGGTGTGTATGTCCACCTCCCATGGGTTTCCCGGGACCCCCAGCAGTGGCCAGAGGAGGAGGTAGTGTCAGCTGTCCTCGTTGTGACCTCCTCCTTCGTCGAGCAGCTTCCCATCTAGACGGTTTAGCACCTCTGAGTCTGATGGGCAGTGTGCTCACCTGGAGCAGTCTGCTGAAGGAGAGGCTCTTGTCAGTGTTTGAACAGGTCTCTGACGGAGACCCAGTGGTAGCTGTCTGTCTTTGGAGTTGGTGCAAACTTCTGCTCCAGTAACCAAGAGAAGCCCTAGGAGGGACTCCTTGCGTAGAGAAGTTGACTTAAAATGTTATATAACACGTGCAGAATCCAGGCCCTAGTCGATCGTTTACACTTATTTAGTGACAGAACTGGTCACAAAGATAAAATAATTGGAAATTAGATCCAGAAAGAAGGAGTAGGATGCAAGAAGCAACACATTTTTGTAGATCTAAACAATCTAATAATTTAATTGTTGTCTTCTTGTAGTAATATTATTTCTACTTGTAGAACCCCCCCAAACATACACACACACAAACACACATACACACACACATACTCCTCTCCATTTGGAAGGAATATTTAGGAAGGCAGTAAACAAAAAGGACAAGTCGAATATTAATATCTCAGACACTCTGGCCAGAGCAGCGGTTTCCTGAGAGGACAACTCCCTGAACTGAGTTATCATAGAATTCTTAGTCAATTGTAGTCACTTTTTCATTGAAGCAACAGTCATAATAGTTTATAATGGCTTTCAGAATTGCTTGAGATTTCATCCTTAGTGTATTAAGAATAGAAAGGTAGGATCATTCCCGCTGTAAGTGAAGGCCAGTTTCCAAATCCAGGCATTTCAGGAGGTGGAAGTAATGATGAAGTGCGTAGAAGAGAGGACACCGTTGACTGTGCAGTTCAGAAGTAATGCCATCGATGACTACTATGTTTCTCCGGAAATTATTATTTTAATTACATGACTGTTTATTACCTAGTGTTAGATTTTACATTCCTCTGGAGAATGATCATTTTGTTTTGTTTTTACATTCTTAAATTATGCTAGTTAAACTTTTTATGGAACTTGAGTCATTTGAAAATAGTAAAGCATAGCTGTTTAAAATTTAACTTCTAAAACGAAAGTGCCCTAAGATTGTTGCTTTGCCAGTACCATTTTCTGGTGACTACTATAAAGGCATTTAAGTGGCCAAATTTAAACTAAAATATCTCCTTAAGAAAATAGAAAAGTATTTTTTAAACAGATTGTTAAAGCGGAGAATGAAAAAATTTAAGCAGTTGATTGTCTACCAGAAGGAACAGATTGTCTGATGTGCCGTCTGGGTCTCGCTGAGTTACCTGGCGGTGCTTCGTTAGCCGCGGTGACGGAGGGCGACGGGAGTGAGATAACCCAAAACAAAATGATGGAAAGAGTTGATTTTGGACAATTTCTTTTAAAAATTTTAAAATATGCTTGCTTCTGATACTCTGTAACTGAATGTTCTAATAAAAATTAACTCTTCTCTATCTTTATGATTCGCATCTACAGTGAAACCTGTGAGAGACGAACCTCAGCAGGACTGTGTAGTTTCTCCAGGTCTTGAGAGTTTCCCGCCTTTGACAGGGCCCCACCTTCCCATTTCTCTGTGGCCCTCTACTGAGCGGGAAGGGGTTGCGTTCTCCTTCTCTGCAGGTTTCCAGCTTACGCAGATTCTGGCCTTTACAGATTTTACGGTATTTTCTAGAGTATTTGCGTAATGTCTTCTTAGATTTAAATTTCTGCCTGAGAATAATACGGCTATTAAGAGGACATCAGGATTTTTGCCAGATAGAAAAGGATATTCTTTTAGCGAAAACAATTCCAGACAGTTTAAAATTTAAATACAATAATGTTTCTTTTTTAAGGAAAAAGTATCTCCATTCTGTCATGGCTGACTTTGTTCTGTTCATGGTTTTCATACCCTTTCATCCTGTGTACTGCAGGACCTTATTCTGTCAGTTAGTCCTCTATTTCTCAACTGTATAATGGCTCTCTCCTGTTAATTCTGCTGCTTAGCCTACGAACATCGTCCAGTTGATGACAGTCTTCCTTAGTTCTGTATAAAGCAAAACAACAACCATTAATCTCTTTTGATCCTGCTGTCTCTTCAAGTGATAAACCAAAACCCAGTGTTGTCGAGTTGATTCCGATTCATCGCGACCCTAGAGGACAGAGCAGAACTGCCCCATAGGGTTTCCAAGGCTGTAATCTTTAAGGAAGCAGACTACCACATCTTTCTCCCACGGAGTGGAAGAAAGCAGCCGAACACTTAACCACTGCTGCACCAGGGCTCCTTCCTTCAAGTGATAGTACCTGTTATATGTGTCACCCCTCTTTGCCCCACACCTCATTACTTGCACAGTCGTATGAGTTTTACCTCATCTCTGTCATCTCCTTTTGTGATTTGAGCTTTTTTTTTTTTAAGGTTACATAGTTGGAATATTCTAGAAGACTTTGTGTTCTGTTTTATTATTTATCTGTTTGTGTTTTCCAGAGCATTGAATGAAATGTGGAAGTGTCAAAATCTGCTCCGACATCAAGTAAAGGATTTGCTCGACTTAATTAAGCAACCCAAAGTAAGTTAAATTTTTAAGAAAAAGAATTTGTCACGTTAAGTTTTATAAAACACGTATTTTATTTATTTACCATTGCTGTTATGTATTAAACAACTAGTTCTGTGTTGAACAGTTTTAAGCTATGATCCCTAACGTAGAACCCTTGACTTTTTAAGAAACTTATGACATAGATCATGTAACATGGTTACTGTGTCTGTAAAAGGCCATGCCCAACAGGAGAGGGAATATGCTTCCATATACTCAAAATTAAGGGTTTTTTTTTTTTGTGGGGGGTGTGGGGGGCAGCTTTAAAATAAAGTAATAGAAACAATAACTCAGCATTATTGAACCTAGAAAATAGAATAAAATGACACTTTATCTTGCTGCCCTGAGATGCTCCCGTCATCTTTGAATAGTCGTGTGCTTTTAGAAAGTTTCAATAATCAAGTAATTATAGTTAGGTGTTGTGATATTTTTACTTACAATTATTGTGGGCATTTTACATATTACTTGTTCTTCATAATCATAATTTAATGATGCTTTTCATCCAGTGGATGTATCGTATTTTATTCTTGGTCTTTTAGAATGATTCTAATTTTTTGTTTTTTTTCTGTTCCCCCCTTTTCTTTGAGAATGCTGTATTATATAGGTGTGTAAGTGGTATAGTTCATTAAAAAAAGCAGTGTGCCTCCTCATTTTAAATTGCCTTTCAGGGAAAACAGTACAGCATTTTTCTGTATTTGTTTTTCAGTCCATAGTCTCTCCCCTGACCCGCCTTGCCCCAGCACACACACGTCATGTTCCCAGGACAGAAGTCTATAGAGCAGCGTTGTGTTGTCTCAGAAGGGAAATCTCCAGGTTCCCACGTGCCCTGAGAATCAGTCAGATAATTTACCAGTTGTTCGCCTGGTTTATGGTGACATACTGACTGTCTTGTTTCAAATCTCCAAATAACAAGCCATAATACCTTTCATACCACTTGTTTGCTAATCAAAGCTAACAGCTGAGTGGTAGTTTGTTTTGCAGGCTGGCAATGATCTCTTTGTTTCTTGAACATAGTTTAACCTTTTTTCCTTCAATTATCGAGTATGTTGAGAATAAGTCTTCCCTTATAGTAAATGAATTGAAACAAATTTTAGTGGTTCTGCTATTTCCTTTTTCTGCCAAGGGCGGAAATTGGAAACCTCAGTTATGTTAGGAACCTATATTTGCATATGTTTCAGATAATAATTTCTGGATACGTCAGGTGCCTCTGTTTGCTGTTCCAGAGCCATATTAATTTACTTTCTCTCGCTAAAGATGAAAAAGTGTTAATGAAAAATTTGAGATGTTCTTACATGTCTGTGTATACAATTATGGCTGATTTTAGGCATTATTAAACAGTCCTAATAGCAGCCAGGTAATATGTAAAGTCCAGCATGCTTGTCATGTTGAACAAGTATGATGTGTGAGATGTAATCAGATAGAACTTTGTTTTTGACTATTTAAAAAAAGGCGGGAGAGTCTCATGAATTTTCTGCTCAGTCTTCAGTGAAATCACAAAATACAATCTCAATTAAATCGGAATGTTTAGTCCTCTTTTACTTTGTGATGTTTTCTGTCTGCTTGGCCTGAGCTAGTTACCAGGTTGTCCACATTAGAGAGCGAATTCTCAATCATATTTGGCAAGATTGAAGACAAAACAGAATGGAGGAGGATAGGACCCCAGATTCGAACCCTAGCATGAGAAGAGCCCCTGGGTGATACACACATTTAAAGTGCTCAGCCACTAACCAAGAGGCTGGAGGTTCAAGTCCATCCAGAGGCGCCTTGAGAGAAGGGCTGCTTCCAAAACATCGGCCACTGAACACTCCATGGCGCCCAGTTCTCCTCTGACAAACCTGGGGCTGCCGTGAGCTGGAGTCAGCTCGACAGCAGCCGGTAGTGTGAGAAGAATGAATCATTCCTCTCTGGTTACTGCCTACTTACTGTGTACCAGCAACTGGAGTAGACATGACAGAGGTGAAGTTCAGAAAATACAAAGCTGTGTTTCATAACTGTTGGGTGTTTCTCCTTCCTTCTGTTTCGTTTTATCGGGAACACCCTTAGATAGTGAAGAGTCAGGAAGTGTTTCTTTGCCTTCTTCCTCACTCAGTTTGTTAAAATAATTTTTATTCTCAGCTCAGCCCTTCTACTTTACTTAACTAATTTAATTTGATCACACGCCACACACACACCCATTGCCATTGAGCCGATTCAGACACATTCATTGACCAGTGTCACACAAAAGTGACTTTAATTTCTAGTACTGTGCTTTTGCTGGTTCTGTTTCTTTCTATTTTTCATATAGATCAACTGGCAGCCTCAGCCCCATTTCTTGCTCCCAAACAAAACAATGATGGCAGAAGTCTTAGATGCTTCTAGACAGATCTGTCCAAATACTTTATAAGTTTCAAATGAATTCTTGTACTCTGAGGAGCCCTGGTGGTGCAGTGCTTAAAATGCTCAGATGCTAACTGGAAGGTCAGCGGTTCGAACCCACCAGCTGCTCCTCAGGAGAAAGATGTGGCAGTCTGCTTCCACAGAGATTACAGCCTTGGAATTGTCTCCTTCACCCCCATGTTTACAAACTGCCTTATTATTTTCCACAGAGTTGCTCATTGGCATCTTTTTAATTGTCTTTCTCCAGTATCTTCCCCATAATCTTTGTGACTATGCCTTACAATGCTCAGGCTTAAAAATTTTAGGAACACCGAGTCAGTCATAATGATATAGTTAAGTGTCAACTTTTTGTTTGAGATAAGGATAAAAACTTAAAAACTCACATTTCCTGGGTGTTTTGTTGTGTTGGTAAATGTAGTTGCCCTATTCTTTCAGCGCTAAAGAAATAGTATCTCCTTGCCCCAGAAGGTGGGTGCAGCAGCCTGGTTTTTGTTTGGGGGCTGATGAAAGAGGGCGAGGTAAGAGTGGACTCCGAGTTCACTTCTGCCTCCAGGTCAGTTCATCTGCAGTTGTGCAGATAGCTGGGGCAGGAGGCTGCTGTGGTGGCAAGGGCAGGGACTGTGAGCCTCCGAATGCTCTGCTTGTCTGCTTTTCTGAAGAGTCTAGTGTGGAGTCTTACACGGGATTTTAATTGTGCATTTTTGTGTGATTTGCAGACAGATGCCAGCGTCAAGGCCATATTTTCAAAGGTGATGGTTATTACAAGTAAGTTATTTTAAATATTCTATATAAATTTATGATTTAACTGAAACCTTCCTGGTAGTTTAAGTTTTCTCATGTAGTTCTGTTTTAGGCTCTGATAATATAGGAAAAGATTAAAGTGTTTGACTTGTGACAGACCAGTCAGCCTCAGCTTTCTCCTTTTCTCTGATTTTCATTTATTTTGCAGAATACAGTTTTTCACTTTTTGTCAGTGTTTTCTATGAACAAGAGCTGGAGGAAAGGATTCATTCTGTAAATACGTTTCAAAGAATCGATTTAAACTATTAGAGTGAAAGCTGGGAGAGCCGGAACTCCCCGGGACTGCCTTGTTTTTCCGGGTTTTGCAGGTTTTCCACCTTTGACAGGGTGGAGTTGTACCACCTTTCTGTCACTCAGTTCAGTGGAAAGTATTTGAGTTTTCCTTCCCGGACAGCTTTCCACCTTTGACAGCTTCCTGCTTTCGCAGGTTTCACTGTACCTACGCTTACTGTGGAAGCTGAATGTAGATTTTCATGTTGCTTGCGCTCATGGGAGTCTCTCTGAAGTTAATTTTACTCTGAACCAAAAGTTAGAATATCCTAGTAACTACGTAACAGTTTCTTTGAAACAATATTAATTTGCTTTCTTGCTTTGATTTCAAATAAAATGTTATTTAATTACATTTAGTAGTAAATAGGAAAGGATTGTGTGGCACAGTGCCTTTAGTCAGAGCGGGAACAGGGAACATTCTCCTCCCACCTCAGAGGTCTCTGTGTTCACTGTGTGGACAGAGGGGCAACCAGGATCACCTGGATGAACGCCTGTGCTGAGCTTCCACTCAGTAGTGAAGAGGAGATTGTAGGTGGATTTCTGAGAGGCTAACAAATGCACGTGGAAGTAATGCTGAGACATTGAACACAAGCAGTAACCTAACTTGCTGGGTTTAGATTTGGTGGGAAGCGTTTTAGCATGAGTAGAATTTTTAAGAAGGAGCCTGGCTGCACAAGCAGTTTGCGATCAGCTGCTAATCTAAAGTTTGACAGTTCAAACCCACCCAGCAGCAGTGGCTCTGCAGAAGAAAGGCCTGGCGAACTGCTTCCATAAAGAACACAGCCAAGTAAACACTGTGGAGCAGTTCTGCTCTGTAACATATGAGGTGGCCATGCATTGCAATCTGCTTGATGGCAACAGATTTTGGTTGTTGCGGTGTTTAGAGTTTAAGACCAGATGTATCATTTAGTCCAGGACAGTTAAACATAAGCTAGTTTTCAGTCCCTTAGAGTAACTTAAAACAAGTACTTTAGTGCTATTGCTTTCTTATAACTATCACCTCAGTAGCTTGGCTATGGACATTATCCCCTAAAGGAGATCATCTCCCATCTTCTTTCTTTTTTTTTTTCCTCCTTTATCCATTTTCTTCCTGGAAGTGTACAGTATTTCCCACACTCTGTTCTGAGGAATGGTAGTGTCCCGCAGGTGTTAACAGCAGTGTGAGAAAAAAGGGTTCCTAGTCATGTAAGTTTTGTAGAATGCTCAATTAAAGTTTTGTTTTCTTCCTCTTTCCTCCCTCCCTTTTCTCTCTTTCTTTTCATTTTGTTTGTTCCCTAAATGGTAGACCTTGTCATAACTTTTAATGCAATGACTTTTCCTGAACCCAGTTAAACTCTAGTGAACAGCTAATGATGTTCGGAGCACAGTTTGCAAAGTGCTGCTCTGGCAGTTTGCAGCTGGCCCTCAGATGCGTGCTGTGTAAACATTTAGTTTATCTTCTGTAAGCAGTTGTGGCTGTCTGTTGTGCTAATATGGTTCTCTCTCTTTACAGTAGATATGTTTGTTATAGAAATGTGAAAAAGTCATACAGTCAAGTATTAGGAGGATTCATTTATGTTTGCTGCACTCAGTGATTGATTGCTGTACCCAGGACTTAAAGTGAACTTTCAGGGTTATATGCAACCTTAAAGAGTGCGTTTACTGTATCCAGATTTTAAGATTCAGTTGAATTTCTACTACTTTCACTACAGTCCAAAGTTCTGTATTATATCTGTTATTAAAAGTATCCTAGTCTGGTTCTCTGTAGCACCAATAGCCAGAAAAAAGGATACTAGTATCAAAATTTTGTTAGCTTTCAGAAATGGTTTGCTACATGGACGTTGGACGTATTGGTAGGGTAGTATAAAAATCATCTTTGATTCTGCAAACATTTATTCTTTCTCATGTAGTAATGACATACCCAGCAGTGACTCTGGAAGAATTTGCTCAATAGATGTCAGTGACTGGCATTTAAATAACATGCTTGTGCGTGTGAATTATCTCTGGATGCTTTAACAGTAAACAACACGTAATATGCATGTGTACGTGAATTATCTCTGAACTAGTTTAACAGTTATCAACATAATACAGGGAAATAGTTGCTTGAAGGTAAAACTTATTGATTAATCTCCCACAAGGTATGTAATAAGCTCAAGGGGACGGTGATGAAATTGGTATTATTTAGGCTGACATTTAATGCTGTAAATATTATAAGGAATTACTTAGAAATAGCCAATTTAGTCTTTCCGTCCATAGGGAAAAACTGCACAATAATCCTGTTTTATATTTCTTAAAAGATTTTTATATGTGAAAGATACTTGGTGATTTATTATCTCAATAAACTAAACTGAATTTGTATGTTAGAATTCTTAATGGAAATAAGAAAAGAAGTGAAAAATGTTTATCTTTTATTATTTTGAGAAAATTTTAAAGTTGTTTTTTAATTTATTTTAAGGAAATTTGCCAGATCCTGGTAAGGCTCAGGATTTCATGAAGAAATTCACACAGGTCTTAGAAGATGATGAGAAAATAAGAAAACAGCTAGAAGTGCTTGTTAGTCCAACATGCTCCTGCAAGCAGGCTGAAAGTTGTGTGGTAAGGAGAGAAATTAAAAAAAGAGCTAATGTTTAGAAAAAACACCCCAAACCTCTTTTTTGTCCCCCACTGTGTAAAATATTTTATATTCATTATGAAGTATTTAGAAAGTATCACAAAAGCAGCCATGCAAATAAACGATAATCCCACTATAGAGACAACTGCTGTTAGTATTGTGGTATATATTTTTCCAAAATATATACATTTTACTTAATTTTCATTAGTCTTTTACAATATTTTGTTTAATAGCTACATAACATACTGTTGAATATATACACCATAATGTATTGAACAGTGCACTGTGCTAGACATTAGTATTTTTTCCTAGTTTTTGATTAATGTAAAGAACACTATAATGAATGTCTTCAATAGCTAAATATTTGTACACAGTGTTGATTGTTTCTTTATTTTTTAGGATAAATTCCTAGCAGTGCAATTGCATGGGTTAAAGATTCATTTTTTTAAGGCTTTTAATATGTATTGCCAGATTGCTCTCCACAGTTGAGCTGGTTTTTTTTATTCTAATCACCAGTGACGAGAGGGACCATTTTCTCACACATAACAGTATTGGCCAGTATCATTACTGAGGAGTCCCTGGGTGGCACAAACAGTTAAGTGCTCAACTACTAACCGAAAGGTTCGTGGTTCAAACCCACCCAGAGGCGCCTCGGAAAACAGGCCTGGCGAACTGTTTCCGAAAGTTGACAGCCTTGAAAACCCTATGGAGCAGTTCTACCCTGCACGTGTGGGGTCACCCTGAGTCAGAATCAACTCAACAGCTACTAACATCATCATCATCATCATCATTGCTGGAAACAAGCAAAAAACAAACCAAATCATAGTCGTTTTGTTAGATTTTGTATTTCTTGGTTGGTAGTCATTTGACCACTTTTTTTTTTCTTGGGTTTATTGGCCATTTATATTTCTTCAGTGTGAATTACGTATTTACAGTCTTTACCCATTCTGTGACATTGTCTGTTACAAGTAATGTTCCATCAGTTGTAGTTTGCCCTTTCAGTTTGTTTTTGATGCTTTTGACATAGTTTCTATTTTTATCTAACTCAATCTATCGGTATTCTCATGGTTTTTACCTTTGGTATCTTGCTTACAAAATCCAATTTTATTGCAAGTCAGTGAAGATATTTACTAATATCAGTATTTCTCAGTTGCTTGTCCGCAGATCTTCTGAGATACTTTTTTTAAAAAAAAGATGTTTCTTGGCCCCAGCCTGGATTGACTTAATCTCAGCCTTTCAAGTGAGGTCCAGCCATCTGTAGTTTTAACAAGTTCCGTTGATAATTTTGCTCACTGAAGTTTGTGTGTCCACTGACGCTTAGTTTTATTCTTATGCATTTGTTTTTATTCTTTTGAAATCTTTTTGGTGTAAGGTATGAAATGGGGATTTAACTTTGTTTTTATTCCAAATGTATGTCCAGCTATTTCAGTACAGTCATTGAGTGATCTTTTTCGTATTTACTTGAAATGTTACCTTTCTCAGATACTAAATTTTTACCCTACTCTTTTTCTGGACTTGATCAATTCCTATTGATTTATTCCACCAGCAATACTGCATAGTTTTAATAATTGTAGATTCTTAATACTTTAAGGTGATGATTTGTTTAAACACTTTTTTGTAACATTTTAAAAATCTGCATTACAGCGTGAAATAACTAAGAAGTTGGGCAACCCCAAACAGCCTACGAATCCTTTCCTAGAGATGATCAAGTTTCTCTTGGAGAGGATCGCACCTGTGCACATAGATACTGAATCTATCAGGTATTTGTATATATAAATGTTAAATCTTCATCACTCTTAATCCTTCCATGTGTTCAGTCAGTCAGACACTGTTGAGCACCTGCCGTATAACTAAACCCATTGCCATCAAGTTCATTTCGACTCCTAGCAACCCTATAGGACAAAGTAGAACTGCCCCATAGGGTTTCCAAGGGGCAGCTGGTGGATTCAAACTGCTGACCTTTTGGTTAGCAGCTGAGTTCTTAACCACTGCTCCACCAGGGCTCCATCTACTGTATACAAGGCAGTAAACTAGCTATTGGATACACATCCGTACATATTCAGCTTTTCTTTTCATTTATTTTAATGATAAGTATTGGTTCAGTTTGTGTCAGAAGTTGGTGTTCTGGTGTTCTGGTGTACCAGCACAGCTCCTTTTTGTTAGCTTGTACACAGTAAATATTGTAGGCTTTGCCAGCTGTAAGTTCTCTGTCAGAATTACTCAGCTCTGCCATTGTAGCCATTGGCACCATGCAAATAACTTCATTCATTGTTAGTTAGTAAATTAGACTTTTATTTACAAGAGAGGCTACTGGCCAGATTTGCCCCTTGGGATTTGCTGGTCTCTGATCTAGTGGGGAAGACAGGCAGTAAACTTACTAGTATGTTAAAAAATAATTCGTGCTTTGTGGAAAAAAAAGCTTGTTGTTGTTACACGCCATTGAATAGATTGTGACTCATAGTGACCCTATAGGGCAGAGTATAACTGCCCCGTAGGGTGTTCTAGGCTGTAAATCTTTACGGGAACAGATTGCCAGGTCTCTTCTCGTATGGAGCGGCTGGTGGGTTTGAACCACCAACCTTTCCGTTAGCAGCTGAGCACTTACCTATTGCTCCACTAGGATTCCTTTACTGCCATGGTAAGCCTCTCTTAGTGACCCAACCACATCTACCCCCACTGCTTGCCTCGTCCACGCTACCTTTCTGTCTGCTTGGACTACAGCGGTAACCTCCTAGCTGGTCTCCTGGCTACAGTATGTTCACCACATGGCCTGTGAGGCTTCCCTTGGTCACACTCCTGCTCTTCTCTTCAGTCTGAGTCCAGCCCACTGGACCTCTACCCATTCTTCAAACAGGCCATGCTCCTTTAGATCCTTATACTTGGTGTTCTTTCTGTTTGGAATGTTTTCTCCCAGTTTTTTTTGGTGTGACTGTCCTTTGTTCTTCGGCTGCGAGCTCATTTGGAAATGCCTTTCCTGGCTGCCCTGGCAGAGGGCCTTCGCCTGGTGTCAGGGCGGTCTTTGTAGTCCGCATTGTGCTCTGGTGATGGCCTTCATGTAGTGTGTGTTGACTTAATTGTGACCGTCCCTCACTAGACTGAGAGCTTCGTGCTTCGTTCGCACCTTTATATTCCAGGGCCTGTTGTGTTCGAGTTTGATTTATTTCGGATTTTAATGAATACTAGTGATAAAGAATGGCTAACATTTATTCAATATAAGCAGTATGCTAGCCTCTGTGCTTTATTTATATTACCGTTAGTCTTCGTGAGACTTCGGTAATGTGGTCATCCTCCTTTTTACTGGTGGAGATGCCAGGGCTCAGAAAGTCTTCAAAAACTTCCTAAAATTCAAGAGAAGGAGCCCTGGTGGCATAGTGGTTAAGTGCTTGGCTGCTGACTAAAAGGTTGGCAGTTTGAACCCACTCTTAGCGGCTCCAAGGGAGAGAGACCTGGTGATCTGCTCCCATAAAGATGGCAGCCTAGGAAACCCTCGGGACAGTTCTCCTCCATCACATGGGGTTGCTAGGAGTCAAAGTCAGCGGCACCTAATGATAAGATTCAGGGAGTAGGTGGAGTCAAAGACGTACCTTTTTTCAAAGTTCATACTTTTTCCACCTACCTTGGTGCTTCACTACTTCCGAACTGAAACAACTATTGTTTTTGTATTCATTCATTGAAAAAACATTTGCTGTGCGTCTCAGATGCATCTTAATGTATTAGAACAATTCTGTTTAGCATGTATTAGAGGAGAGATGAGAGTTACAGATGAGGATAGAAAGTAGTAAATGCCACAGTAAAAACCAAAACCAAACCAGACCAAACCCGATGCCGTCGAGTAGATTCCCACTCATAGCAACCCTATAGGGCAGAGAAGAACTGCCCCATACAGTTTCCAAGGAGCGCCTGGTGGATTTGAACTACCAACCTTTTGGTTAGCAGCCGTGGCACTTAACCACTACGCCACCAGGGTTTCCATAGTAAGGAGTTGCAATTTTATGTTTATGCAGAAGTGATTGCCATGATCAAGCTTTCTCTAAGAAAGTTTTTCTACTAAATTGTGGACGGCATAGAAGGGCACTAGATCAGAATACAGGCAGCTGTTATAAAACCTTTCAGTAGGTTAAGTATGTAAAGAAGAAACGAGAAACGGCTCAGTGGTGATGGAGAGAAGAGGGCTGTGGACTCACCTGACTTCACCTGGGGGCGGTGTGGGGCCTGAGCACGGCTGTCGAGGGAAGGAAGATTGACACAGTAGTAGGGATGGGTGTCAGAGAGGAAAGACCACATTTTGGAAGAAAGTGGTAGGTTTGGGTGCTATTTTTTATTCCTGTGATACTGCTACAAAAAAAGTCCTGGGAAGAGGATTCAGGCTGTAGACTTTTACTGGGCACAGGTGATGACTGGAAAACAGAATGGTCAGGGAAGATGGGCAGAAAAAGGAAACGCATTGGGAAAGATCAACTGTTAACGGGGTGATAAATTAAAGAGGACTTTTCCTATAAAGGAGACAGATTTTGATGACTACCGGTAGCTTGATCTCAAATTTTGAGTACATAGTATTTTTTTAAATTGTACTTTAGATGAAGGTTTACAGAACAAACTAGCTTCTCATTAAACAGTTAGTACACGTATTGCTTTGTGACATTGGTTACCAACCCCACGACATGTCAACACTCTCCGTTCTCGACCTTGGGTTCCCCGTTACCAGCTTTCCTGTCCCCTCCTGCCTTCTAGTCCTTGCCCCGGGTTGGTATGCCCCTTTAGTCTGGTTTTGTTTTATGAGCCTGTCTAATCTTTGGCTGAAGGGTGAACCTCAGGAGTGACTTCATTACTGAGCTAAAAAGGTGTCTGGGGACCATACTCTTGGGGTTTCTCCCTTCAGGGCTCCAAGTGGAGCCCTGCTGGCACAGTGGTTAAGAGCTTGGCTGTTAACCAAAAGGTTGGCAGTTCAAATCCACCAGCCGCTTCTTGGAAATCTTATGGGGCAGTTCTGCTTTATCCTATAGGGTAGCTATGAGTCAGAATCGACTCGATGGCAATGGTTTGTTTTGGTTTTTGGTTTCCGAGGTATTTTTACACCCTTCAGGGGCAGGACTGTGTGCTTCTGGCTTTGACAGCAGTCACCGATACAAAGTCATATTTAGTAAACTTTGAAAATGCTTAATGTTGTCGTTTGTCCTTTATTTCAGTGTACGCTGTTCTACTTACTGGACTAAAAATACATTTTAGATAATTAAAAGCAATCTATCATTCATGTGTTTGGGTATAGACTATCCATGCAAAAGACGATAATAAAAATACAAATAGCATTAGTAAGGAGCAAATCAAGTAACATTTTGACCACATTTGAATGGACAAGAGAAAATGTTTTTAAAAAACATCTCAAAGTATTTTATTATAGCTGTTTGGTTTGCAGTCATATTCGGGAAACAACTATGCAGATTTGCGTTTGATGTGGATGTGATCTACAAGTAACATATTTAGGATGAATTTTCTTAGACATTGCTAACAAATGCCAGTTAAGGTGTCTGTTTTATTTTTTGTCGTTATTTAGTGCCCTTATTAAGCAAGTGAACAGATCGATAGACGGGACAGCAGATGATGAAGACGAGGGTGTCCCCACGGATCAGGCCATCAGGGCGGGCCTTGAACTGCTTAAGGTAGCTCCCTATCTGAAATTAAGTGCCTGATTAGATGCCTGTCAGGTACAGTGGAGATTTTTATTCTTCAAGTTTGTTTCTTAAGTTTATATGACCTAAGGTAACATTTTCTCAATTGTTTTAGGTAATTTAGAAATTACATGTTTATTTTAACACATAAACTAAATATTTTAAGGTCTAAAATTATATGGTCTTAATGATAAGTATACTGAAATACTTAAGTACGATTTGAAGGTGTTGTTAGTGAGCAAAGAGGATGCTAACTCTACTGCAGAACGGGCCACGTTCTTCCTAAAAAGCCACTTTATTTCTCATTTTGTTAGATAAAAAATACTCTTAATGTCTTTTACTAATTATAAAAAATATCAGGTTATTGTTGACAGTTTAGAAAATAGAAAATCATAAAGAAGGAAACACAAACCTAGCTGTACGTGAACTTCGTTTCTTTTGTTTCCTGTTAGTCTTTTTAAAACGCACGTTTTTAGATAGTTGAGAGCAGACTGAGTATAGAATTTTATATCCTGTATTCCCTTAATAAATGTTAAGCATTTTTCTCAGTGTGTTTTAAGACAGTGTTTTTAAGAGTGCCAAAACACAGAGCTGATTTTTGGTTGTTGTGTAGTAGCTGTTTGCCTTTGGACAAGTTAATTACTTCTGCTTCCTTATCTGCAGTGGAGATAATAAAAGTACTTACCGCAAAGAGGATCGAATTAAATCTTGTGCATAGATTTTTAGCACAGTGTCTGGCTCATATTAAAAATAACATTGTTTTTCGAAGTAGTTATTAGTAGTCCACTTTTAGGGTAAGTCATAGTTTTCCTAATAATTTTCCTATTGTTGGATGTTTACATTTTTCCAGTTTTATTCTTCTGTAAACAGTGCTTAGGTGAGTATCTCTGTGTAAGATCTCTTGCCAGTGTCTTATGTTTTTGGCGTCCTAGATGAGCATTCCAAGAGAGTGGTCCAAGAGAATGATCATTTTCTACAATCTTGGATGCATATTGCCAAATTCCTTCATAGAGAAATTGTACTCCTCAGTATTGTTACGAAGTTGCTCACCTCCCTACCTTCACAAACATGGAATATAGTAAATTGTTAAAAGATCTGCTAATTTTATCAGCAAAAGGAATGTTTTCATGTGCATGGTTATTACTAGTGAGATTTACCTTCCATATGTTCATCATTCATGTTTTCCCTGTGGTGAAGTCATTATTTTTATATTTTGTCCATATACCTAGTGGTATGTCAATCTTCTATTTTTTTAAACTGATTTAACCGAGCTTTTTATAGATTAAAGATATTAACTCTGATATACTTATTGCCCAGTTTGTGTTTTGCTATTTTTTTTTTTTTGGTTGGTTTTGGGGTTCCTTTTGATACATAGATGTTAACATTTTATATGGCCAAATTCAACCATATTTTCCTTTGCTATTTTATAGAAAGTATTTGATATATTAACAGAATATTACATATTCTGTTAGATGTAAATTATGAACTATAGCAATAAAGTCATAGCAGTGAAAATTAAATAGAATATTAACCCAAATTAAATAGAGTATTAATAATACTGTTGAAGTTTCCTGTGCGGTTTTCCCCCACTCACATCCTCCAGGTGTAATTGTCCTGAATTTTGGGTTTATTATGCTTTTACTGTTCTTTATAGTTATGTATTTGTGTCTGTGTATATATCTCTATGTGTATGTCTAAGTAATATCTGACATACATCTAACAGTATTTATTTTGCTTGTTTATAAATTTCATAAATATGGCATTATACAGAAATACATTTTTGGTACTTAATTTTTTATATCCCACATTTGATTTCCATTGCTTATTTTAAGCTTAAAAATTCCTATCACATTTAGAGTTTTATAAAAATTATTATTAAACAATAACCCGTCTGAAATTTATTTTGAAAGTGTGTTTTGTGAGGGAAGATTTAAAATGATTTTCTCCAAGTGTCTAACCAGTTTTGCCCTGACTTTTTATTAAAAAATTACATTCATTCTCATTTATTTTCTGTTGCCATCTTTATAACCTCTTACAGTCTATGTAATCTAGGTGCTTATGTATGCTAGGATCTGTCTATTGGTTTACCTTTTCTGTTTCATGATTTTTCTAATGTGACTACCACGCTGATTTGGTTACTGTAACTTTGTAATGTCTTTTACTTCCTGGTGTTTTGCCGCCTTCCCTAGAACATCCTCTAAAAACGTTCTTGGCTAATCTCATCTAATGATCTTTATTTAAAAGTATACAGATATTTTGTTAAATTTTGTCTCCTTGTTCCCTTTCTCTTCCTCTCACCACACCCCCAAAGAAAAAACAAAATTCAAACTTGAATCAAAATCCAAATTATTTTGACTAGAGTTATATTAGCTTGTAGTTTCATTTGGGAAGAATTGATTTCTTTAGATCATGCAATTTTCCTACACAGGAACATCTATTTCTGTCTTCTGTTATATATTTGAGCAAAATTTTATTTGTAAGACTCTGTTTCTTGTTAGCAGAATTATTGTACTGGCAATTGATTTGCAGTATTTCTAATATGTAACATTTCATCCTTGAATATTTATAAAGATGAGAAGAGTTTAAAATAGTTTTTATGGCTCATTTTGTAGGTCCTCTCATTTACACATCCCATCTCGTTTCATTCTGCGGAAACCTTCGAGTCTCTCCTGGCTTGTCTGAAGATGGATGATGAGAAAGTAGCAGAAGCTGCACTACAAATTTTCAAAAACACGGGAAGCAAAATTGAAGAGGATTTTCCACACATCAGATCGTGAGTTGAGCTTATTCCAATAGCTTGGAAAACAGAAGAAGAATTTCCTGTTTCTTGATTTATGTAATTGTTGGGATCTTTCCAATGTTGAAGAAAAAACAGTCTAGGTTATCCTAGGTCTGTACTGTTCAAATTGAATTCTCATTTCCTGGGAGAAAGCGTTGGTATCTTAGAAGAGTCGTGAAAATGTTGGCTGTAAACATTTCTGAAGCATTAGTTTTGCTTAAAGATTTTGACAAAAACAATTTTATAGTATAACAGTCTCCAGTATATTACTGTTGTTGTTAGATGCCATCCACTCGGTTCCAACTCATAGCGACCCTACGTACAACAGAAGGAAACACTACCCGGTCCTGTGCCATCCTCACAATCATTGCTATGCTTGAGCCCTTTGTTGCAGCCACTGTGTCAGTCCATCTCATTGAGGGTCTTCCTCGTTTTTGCTGACCCTCCACTTTACCAAGCATGATGTCCTTCTCCAGGGACTGGTCCCTCCTGATAACATGTCCAAAGTATGTGAGACAAAGTCTTGCCATCCTCGCTTCCAAAGAGCGTTCTGGCTGTACTTCTTCCAAGACAGATTTGTTCCTTCTTCTGGCAGTCCGTGGTATATTCAGTGTTCTTTGCCACCACCATAATTCAGAGGCATCAATTCTTTTTCTGTCTTCCTTATTCATTATCCAGCTTTTGCATGCATATGATGGAATTGAACACATGGCTTGGGTGAGGTGCACCTTAGTCGTCAAAGTGACATCTTTGCTTTTCAAGACTTTAAAGAGGTCTTTTGCAGGGCATTTGCCCAATGCAATACGACATTTGATTTCTTGAGTACAGCTTTCGTGGGCATTGATTGTGGATCCAAGTCAAATGACAAGTGTGTTATAGCACAGAGTAAACAGCTCACGTGCGTTTAATATGCGGTAGAGAATTCCAGAGCACTTGCTGCAGGACTGTCCACAGCACTGTCGTCTTTCCTCTGTGCTTAAGGCTACTGGACAGAAGATTTTCCGAAGCAGGGCTTTACTTCTGACAGGAAGCAGGGAAGCATGGAATATTCATCTTTACAGCGGTGTGCTTTTTTTCTGGGTTCCAGTGTCCCTAAGTATCGGAAATGGAGCTGTAAACCTGGAGAATGCTTCAGAGTGGCTGATCTTTGTTCAGGGAGTGTACAGTAGCTCAAGAGATTAAGTCTTCATTCTTTATAGATCCCTGCTTTCTCCTCCACATGCATCTCTCCTACCTCTTCCTGGATAGAGGACCTGATGTGTGGTCCTGAGATTGCCGCAGTCCTGCGTGGTTGGTTGTCGCAGCGGCGACGGTTGTCGGGGCGTCGGAGACAGTAACCAATGCCACAACTCTTACAGAGGAGTGGGGCCAGGAGGGTCACTCTGAGGAGTCGAACCTTGGCTTCAGTCCCTGGAGTTTATTTATAGTCAGTACAGCAAACAGTGAAGCAAATAACAGAACGATGGGCTTTGGGTGAATAACAATAAGTTTCGGGCAAGGGAGGAGGAATTCAGGTAAACAAGCCAATCAGTAACGGGTTTGGAAAAACAAGTCGTGACAAGTCTCAGCATGTTGGGGACAAGTCTCAACATGTTGTGCAGGATAGAGGCCTTTATACATCCGTATTTTAATGGCACGTATCCCCACAGTTGGTGTCACCTTTACGTGCTGCTCCTGCCTCAGCCGCTGGCCCAGTTAGTGCGCTTGGAGTGGTGCTTGCTTCTTCACGCACACGGCTGGTCTGTGGCCCCTTCCCTCAGACAGACTGTCAGCAAAGCCAGCTCCTGGAGCCTCAGGTGTAATTTTTGTTGTCCTTTTCTGATGGCGTGAACTTAATTCTAGGAACTGCTGATAAATAGAACAAAGGCGTTATTTAAACGGTAATTGAAATATATCAGGATTTTGTAACCGTAGTATTTTCTGGCAAGAGCAAGGAACCTTATTGTTTGGAAATGACTTCTTAATTTTTAAGTGAAGCCAGAGTAAAGATCTCTTTTTGGAATGGTGTTGTGGCTCTCCTGTTCAGATCAGAGTTTTGTTAAGACTGTATGTGTGTGTGTGTGTGTCTGTGTGTGTCTGTGTCTGTCTGTCTGTCTGTATATAACTATATACAATCTACTAACTGCCCACTTACTGTACTAATTCATTGAAACCTTGTAACGGTTCAGTGAAGTGTGGTTGTTATATTAATCTTCCAAATGAGGAAACTAAGGGTAGAGAAGTAAATGGCTCTAGCTATGTAGCTAGCAAGTGGTAGAGCCAGGATTTGAATTTAGGCCTGCTTGGCTGCAGTGCCTGCAGCCTACCTATTATCGTACAGTTCTGTTCTTAACTAGAGCTTTGAACAAGGCTTTTATTATTTTCCTTCTAGACTGTCTTTCCTTTATATTTTCAAGAACCGTTGATATATTTGTAGGAGAACTCCGAGAGCAGGGTGGAAAGGTGGACGTTTTAGAACACACAAGGGCATTTTCAAACGTGGTGCTTTAATGTGGAACTGCAGTACTTAAAGTTAACCTGACTTGTATGCTGAGTATATTTCCAGTGTCTCTATGAGGAGAATTAACTCAGCTGATACTGAATACCTGCTGTGTGCACACACTGTTCTCGATGAAGTATCTCACAGTGTATGGCTTCCAGGAGATAAAATGTGTGCGCAGATTTTATGTTTAAAATTATTAAATTGGCTAAGTTGACTTTTTGAGGAAAAATGATAGATTTAAGTGAATGTTTATTACATTATCTTCCCTAGAAGTCACCAAAACAATTTAAAAGAACCAAAAGAAAAATGTATATAAGTGGAACCTCCCACAAACTGGACAGAATTGGTGCCAGATATGATACCACTTAGACCAAATTAAATGTAGATGAAAACCTAGAAGTAAAGTCTACAAGAAATGTGCAGCCCTGTAATGGTGGGTGTGGGAGTGTAACACTGAATAAAGAAATTAGGAAAAGTTAGGTCCCCCAGTAACTGTTCTTGGAATAACTGGCCGCCATTTTGAAAAGAAAAATCAATGTAAACTGTCTGCCTTGACTTTACATGTATTATAGATGGGTGAAAGATAAAGCCTTGATTAAGATGTTAAGTATATAAAGTGAATTAATAAAAGTATTAGAACCCCATAGTTCTCTATAGCTCCTTTTTTATGGAGAATAGGACAGTAATGCCAAGTCGTAAATAAAATACCAATAGATTTGAGTATTTTAAAAAATATGTTGTGAAAGCGTTGAGAAGTTCCGGCTGCGTCCAGGCACAGTTTAGGTGCTGAGGGTGGTGACAGAGCAGGTGAAGTCTCTGACTTATATTGCACTGGGGGAACCACTCTTCAGACAAAAGCAGAAATGAGAAAATAAGTTGGAAATGCAAGTGATGGCTGGGAAACTGTGTTCAACTTACATGATGAAGAAAAGTTTAATGTCTGTCACGTATGCAGAGTGTTAACAAAGTCACAGCAGGACACTAGCAAAGGGAATGAACAAGAAATTCACTCATGGGAGACCGTCCGGAATCATGGAAAGACATTTCTGACTACTAAGCGTAATCCAGAAGATAAGCATAAGTAAGAATGATTGTGTGATAATGACCCGTGTCAGCTGGCTACCAGTGATGCCGCCTTTCTGGGCTGGCAGTGTAATAACAGGGCAACTTAAAATGTGTGCGGTCTTTAGCTGGGCAGTTTCACTTTTAGGAACTTAATGCTGGAGAGACATTTGAGAAGATGTCTGCATGATGGTATATGGGGAGGGTCCAGTTAGAAGCAGAAACCATACTAGTTATTTTGAACAAGAAGTTAGTACAGATGTTTGAAGGCTGAAAGCACGCACAGGTTCCTTTGGTAACCCTGAGGTGGTTAATTGTTGGCCGCAGCCACCAGCTCGAGGGCTCGGGGAGTGCCTGGGAAGAAGTGGTGTTAAGGGGTACTGCCGAGTGGGTGGAAGGCTTGGCGTGGCCTGAACTACCATGGTGAGGGGATGGCTTGGCTGTTTCTGGGGGGCAGTGAAGCGAGCTCCCAGAGGGCCTAGAGAAGCTGCAGGGTCTCAAAAGAACATAATGGGAAGCCAGCTGGCTAGGGAGTCTGGGAAATGTAGTCTGCAGATGTATGTGTTCACCATCTTACAGCAGATTATAGAAGCTCAGGGACAGTAGGTAAATAACCAGCACACGGGTGTTTCTGGTACTGTTGTGTAGGTTAAAAACTAAAATGAAAGCACTGAAAATGCTCGTTAGTAGGAGACTGATTAGGTTAGCTATGGTGGAGCCTTACACAAAGAGCTGTATGACTATTAAAAAGGATGATGTTAGCAATGTCTGACTTAGGAGATTCTCCACGACGTTGTCGAGTGAAAAACTGCTTCCAAATAGTATGTGTTACGTATCCTTTCTCCTCTGACGCGTGTGGCGTTCTCCACTCAGCAGCAACTGGTCAGCTATGTGTGAAGACACCTTTAGGAGAGTGTTCACCAAGATGTTAACAGTAATTACTTCAGGGTGGTGGGATTTTTAATTTTATTTTATGTTTTTAATATATTTTTCAGTTTTGTTTGCATTTTCTACATGTATGTGATTACCATCGGGGGAAAAACCCTTCGATTTTAAAGAAGAAAATAAACTTAGTCAATTTAAGGGATTCCTAAATAGGAATTTCTTAATAGAAAAGCGGTCAGAGAAGGTAGTTGTTTTATTGATGTTTCACTAACTTCTAAGACTCCACCTTGTACTTCAGAATTCTTGAAATTGTGTGGGTTATTTTCTTCTCTGTGTTTATTGGTTTGGTTTCTTTTTTTTTCTATAATTGCTTGTTGAAATAAATGAATACACAAAACTCTGGATGCGCTTAAAATTTCCTGTAACTGTCTTAAAAAAAACCAAAGCAAAGTCACTTCTTGCTTGTGTGTGACCTCTGGTTTTTCTCTTGATTACTGAGAAAAGAGATTGTCAATGTGTATAATGTAAGATATGAGTTATGATAAGGTAGGTCTTACCTGGGGAG